ATTTCAGCATGGAATTTTTGAAAAATGGAAAATAATTCACTCCTTTCTTTCATTAAATAAATCCATGTCATCCTTGAACAATCATCAATAAAAGTGACAAAATACTTGTAACCATTATAAGACTCTATTTTAATCGGACCCCAAACATCTGAATGAACCAAAGCAAAAGGACTCAACATACGACTATCAACTCTAGGACTGAAGGGAACCCGACGATGTTTCTCATACTGACACGACTCACACTGTAAAGACAACAAATGACACAAAGACGGAACCAGTATCTTGTGTGCCTTGAGAGATGGATGTCCCAGTTGACAATGCCACTGTAAAGGAGTGAGTGAAGTCTGAAGTGAAACTGACGATCCACCACCGTCAAGGTAATACAATCCACCAGCCTCATGCCCCCCACCAATCTTCTTCCCCGTCTTGAGATCCTAAAAAACACAAAATGAAGGGAAAAATGTAATAGAGCAATCAAGAGTCTTGGTTAATTTACTAACAGACATAAGATTGAATGGAAACTTAGGGACATATAGAACAGATGATAAAGAAAGAGAAGTCGTGTCAACATTACCAACACCACAGATGGGAGAAGAGAAACCATTGGCAAGGGTAACAGTTTGAGATGTGGAAGTTTCAGAGAGAAGAGAATACACCTGGAGTCCCGGTCATTTGATCAGAGGCTCCAGAGTCAATAATCCAGGGAGAGGGTTTGGATGCCAGACAAGCTATACCTGAGTGGGCAAGGGTGGTTGTAGTATGCTGTGAAGTAGCCTGGAGGAACCTCTCATACTCATCGCGCGGTACACTCACCATCTCCTTCCTAGAAACAGATGTAGATGTGGAAGGTGTTAGGTCTGCCTGTTGATTATCACTGACATCAACCCCACCAGCTACTACATGATTAGCCCATGTAGAAGGAGGGCCATGGAGATCATAACAGAAATTCGCCGAACGTTCGTCCCTATCACAATGGGTACACTTCCTTGTAGATTTACTTTTTCCTTTACCACGGCCTCCCCCTGAGTCACAACCACCACCACGGCCAAATACGGAACCACCACGACCTCCTCGGGAGGCATGTCCTCCCCCTCTAGTACCACGCCCACCTCCTCTATCTATCACAAATGCTGATCTGTCAGACTATGTGGGATTCTCTGTAGATCCCAAAGAAATCCTACGAAGCCATGCAAAAACTTCCTCAAGTGTAGGAACAGTAGAGCCTCCCAATATTTGGGCACTAATTGGTTCATATTCTGATTTCAACCCCACTAAGAACCTAGTGGCATCTAGTTGTTCCCTCTGTTGTTGCTGAACCTTAACATCTGGAGTGAGGGGATGATAGACTGAGTTCATTTCTGAGGTTCTTCATACTGGCATAGTACTCTTCTAGGGTTTTATTTCCTTGTTGCAGACCAAAGTACTCCTGATAGAGCTGGTATACTGTTGTAGTATTATCCTGCCCAGAATAAAGCTTCTTGGCATGTTCCCATATGTCCCTTAGTTGTATCTAAGAACATAAAGTTGGCAC